GTTCCAAATATGAGCCTCCACAACATCCAAGAAACCGTTTCGAAAAAACGGTCCATGTCCTGAAATACCCCCCTTGTTAGTGTTCTAGTCAGTTTTAAAACTTGCTCTTTTTGCAGATACCTAGCGCAAGCGGCGACGGCTGGGCGTTTGGAAGAAGTGGAAATGTTGGAACGGAATTTGCGGGATCTTGAAGATGAGATGTTGAAGATGGGCTTGATTTCGCCAACTTGAAGCACAAGTATTGTTCAGCAACGAATTCTCACATCATCTCAGCGTAATGCAACATTCCAAATTTTCTATTAACCGCTTTCATCAGTCTCGATTCTGACGACGCGTTAAACCCTGTTTCTTCTCTTGATCGTTGCCTTTCCCTCATATTTTGTGAAATCTCATTCAGGCCTGATATTATGCGGAGCTTATTTTCCTTTTTTGCTGTGATTTTTTTTGCCCACTCTATTACTTTTCCTCCACTCGGTGACCAATGTTTCGTAACGCGTGTACCTACGGCAGGTAAGTTTCGGCGATGTTACTCAGTGCATTTGCAGCCAGGTGCTCCTCTCAAAGGTAAACACATGACTGCATGCTCGCCGAGTACACGCACCCCTACAGCTCATCCGTTTCAAGCTGGCATTTCAAAAACTTTGGCACTGCCTTTAGCACACAATGGATGTGCCGTGGTGCGATAGTACTTCGCGGAAATTGGCAACAGGCGACAGTTCTACCATTTGATGCGAAATTATTAGCGCATGACTCAGTTGCTTGGTTTTATATTTGGAATTTTTGTGCCGTTCGATAGACCATTATTTCTGGCTTTTTTTTAGAGGCGAGTGCGGTTTTTGTGTGTCGGTTCGAGAGGGATATTCTGTAGGTTATCCGTGACAACATAGAACCATTGATGCTTTTATTACATTTTTACTCTCTTACTAACTTATTACCTTTTTCTGCGTGTACTTATAGACCGAGTTCAATCGGGTGCGTCTAGAAATCTGTCTTTATTTGCTTGAAGATTGACATTCAGCTTTGGTGGTCGCGTTTCTGTTGATATAAATGAGGCGTCATTGAGATTTTTGGTTCTTATCACTTAGGCCTTTATTCTTCTGATGAACATATACATAAAAAATGAGTTCCATCAGTACTGATCAATGCATTTCCTATCGGTACAGGCTGCCAGAAGATGACTTTCCTCGCCACTAAATAAACTAGTATCGGTGTGGCTCTTCCTTCGCAGTGGTTGGATTGCTCAATTGTTTTGACTAATCGAATCTCAGTACAAGCTATACGTCTTTTTGAGATCTGTAGGTCCTTTTTTGTTCTTGATTTCATCCCCTTGTGACAGCAATATCTGGGAAAGTAGCAATCTTTTGTTGTAGGCCGCTTGAGTGGCTACATTTTTAGCTACTCCGGAACTGTCAGTTATGGTGGTAGATGCATATGTGTTATGGGCCGATACTCTGGATTGGCTTGTTGGCACGGTTGCATGATGACAAATCGCCGACCGCTCTCTGTTCACTTTTAGTACTGGTTCATGGCAAATGGTAAGAATCGGTTCTTCTAGTATGTGAAGTCAGGAGTCCAAGGTGTGCACCAAAACGGTTTTCTGAGCGTAACGTTATTTGAAAGTGAAAGCCTAGATGAGTCTTTGTTCTAATTTTCTAGATCCGAAATTTTCTGGATATAACTCAAATAAACAAAAAAAAACTGAAGGACCAACATATAAGAAATTTGGGCAAGTTAGTGAGAAGCTCTGGAAGCTGGGTAGTGCCTATTTTGATCGAATAAGTTGTTTACGAGAGGAGGAAAAAAGCGTAACACGGGCGAGTCCCTGCCTCGTCCGCACCTAGTCGACCTGTGGCCCCAGATCCGACTACCGAATTTTCATATTAGACGTTAAGGTCACGTATCGTGATCAAAACTAAAAGTGATGTTCGAATAGACTAAAATGTGTTGTAATGATTACTTTTTACAGTGGAAGCTAGAAGCGATGTCAGAAGTGGAGATACTTTGGGATCCAGAGTTCGCGATCGTACGTGCCATGGTCGGCGATTAGGCGATTAGTCTATGAGGAAAGGGATAGTTATCGATTAGGCGAGAGGGCGATTAGGAGTTCGCTCAGTGGGCGGAACAATCGATACGTACCTTCTGGTTCGCCCAGTCGACCTATCAATATCGATATCTTTTTGAATTCATTGACACTTTTGCCATGTCATGTACGTCGCCTAACTCTGAACGTGCCTTTACCCACTCTCAAACAACCTTCTTCTGTGAGGAACATGTTTAAACTTGCTGCTTATGAAAATGAATCAACTTCAGCTCTTCGTTGCTGCATACGTGAGCCACTGGTCGGAGTAGGCTTTATTCATTTGATTGACGGGTCGTGACTCTTCCCATTCCCGCCTTCCCTCATCTTGATAAGTACGTTTTTCCAGCTTTTCTTGTTGAGGTTATTTTTTAACTTCATCAGGCTGTTCCTCCACCGCTAGTAATCCTATTGTGACGCTTTTCACTGCAATGTATTTCTAGTCTTTGATTCCTCGAAAAATAGTCATTTGTATTATAGATAGCTAGTTCAGACTAGGCACCACGAGTCACAACCAGTGATATAATTTCCCTAAAGTCCGTAGTCCATCATGGTTCAAGGCGTAGTCGGCCACAGCAAAGTGTGCTGCATATCAACCGCTAGCGGCACAATACCATAGGCTGGGAAATCCCTCATTACGGTGATGGGGGTCGGGCGCTCATGTCCTTAGGGGGGAGTTGGAGTTGGAGTGGGTGGGCCACTGATAAAACTCAGGACTAAGCTTTAGGGAAAAGAAATTGTGGGCAACCATTGTTCTCCCTTGTGTTTATTCCCAGTCCTGGGCTTAGTCGTAGTGTCACCTACCAGCGGTTTTTGAATGCCCTGTTCTGAATGTCCCCCCTAAGGACATGAGCGCCGGGAGTCGTTTTTGTAATTTTTGAATGGGGTGTGGTATTTGGAATTCCTAGGAAGGATGGGGTCGTGGTGCTGGGAGTTCGAAGGATTGTGTCTATGGGAAAGCTGACGACCCTGCACCAACTATAGAGGATTAATTGGGGTACGGGTTGGTGTTTGCCAAGTGATGGCAGGTTCAACTATGGGCAACATGGAGGTTGCAACAGAGTTTCACTCAATGTGACTGTCGACCAGGGCGGTGGAGCGAGCATCAGTAAATAAAACTAACGTATAGAGATGCTAACTGAGTGAGATGCTATTACGATAAACAAGAATCATTTGATGATGTTCAGGAATGGAGACCGGAAAGGCTATTGAGAACTGTGTTCGAACTCTTGGGAATCGTATACTCTCCTGTTGGAGCGAAGAAGAGGCAAGCAGCGTGTCAGAAGAGGACAAAAATGTGGGTATGCATCGCTTCAGAGAAGAGTCTGAGGGTTTGAATCACTGCCTTTAGGGAGTCAGAGTTACCCAACTAAAACACGGCTGAATGTCTGAACCAGAGTTTGACACGGTATTTACAGATGATCAACAATGATACGAAGTTCTCTGTCTCTGTAGATGTCTCGCATTTCAAACCTGAGGAACTACGCGTTCACATCAATGGGCGAGAGCTCATTATTGAAGGAAATCAAGAAAAACAAGATGGCATTGGTTATGTGCAGAGGTGAGAGTATTCCATTACACTTGAAACAGCATCTGGAACAGTCAAGGTGACCGTTTCTTGTTTTGGTCACTTCGGCCAAAGGTGCCCGATCTGGTTTTACCTTTAGTCGGGTGTTAAAATATTCGAGCGGGTTCTTTTCGAGTATATTACGCGAACCGTCTTCCTTAC